TATATATAAAATAAGAAAGTAAAAATATTATTAACATTTTCGAAAATAACACTTTTCAACACTTTGGGAAAAAACAAACAAGATAGGAGATGCTTTTTTCCCCTTTCCACACTTTCATTCTGAACTTGAAACCAAACATATATATTTTTAGATTATATGTGTTAAGTTTAATTCAACACGTAACATTATTATTTCATTGTTAATATTAAAAAAATATTTATATAAAAAGATTATTTTTAATTTTCCCCATATCTTAGATTTATTTTGTATTTATTTTTCTTTATAATGTTGTTTTCATTTCAAGTTTTAATTACTTGGGCCCAGAATTATTTTATATTTTATAATATACTTCTGCCCCTAAATATTAATTTTATATGGTTGTTTTTAATTATTTATTTAAATAAATTATATATATATATATATATATATCTTTTTTTCCGCTAATTTAATTTTTCTTTTATTTATATTTGTAATTCTTATACTCAAACATGAAAAATGCTTTATTACATATAGCATAGTGGTTAGTTGCTTGTTATATTTTAAACAATTCAGTAATAAAGAATTGATTATGACTAGTATTAATTAAGTAGTTGACTCTTGCAAAAGAGTTATTTCCTGACCATGTTGATGCAAAATTGTTATTCATAAATTAGTATTAAATTCTTACAAATAAACTAAACCCTACAAACTGTCCCTTCTATTGTTTGGCACTGATATAAATCTATGCCACAACATGTGAAATTAAAGTTGAGAGTGAGATATAACCAAACACACCGTGTTTCAGTTGATAGTCTAACAAAGCCATGTTACTAGGACAAATCCTAACTAAAAACCGTCACAAATCAGTTCACACTTTTCCTGCTGATTACTGAGTACATAGGGTGTGTTCTTAAAATGAAAAGGGTTAATTAAAAGACAATTTCTCTATCCACACTTGTTCTCTTTCTATAACTAAGGATTGTATGCTTAAAAAACTCATTTTACTATCTACTACTGTTATGTCTCATGGGATTGATTAACACGAGAAAAAAACATGCAAACATGATTTCCAACGTCAATAATAGTTTCTAATGCGTCACTCAAACATTCATAGTGGTTGGCATTTCAAGACATCATCAGTACCCACACTTCTGGAGGGTTAATCAATATTTTGTCCTCAGACGCGACAGTCCAGATCCATAACTAAACATATCCAAAAAATTAAAATAAATAACTTTTTTTAATGTTAATTTTTATTTAGTTATGATAATATTATAAATCAATCATTGCATATGAAATATTTTATATTTTAAAATTTAAATTTCACGCTTTTTTATTAAATTTTTTTGTGAATTAAAATAAAAGGTGTATATAAACAAATTTTAATATCAATTCATAAAAAAATTGAGATTTTTTTCTTTTTTAATTTATTATAATTTAAACTTTAATTTTATTATATACTTCAAACTTATTATTACAAAATTTAATATTTTTTCGGTAATTATCAATCTTATAAATATTTTGTTCTTATAAAAAATTTATCGTCTCTTGTTCTAACAAATTTATGTGGTATAAATTTTAATGTGTATTTATCAAGTTGTAAATAGTATTGAGAAATAAACTGTAAATAATGAGATATGAAAAAAAATCCACCTAAAAAACTTTTTTACAATTAAGTTATAAATGATATAAAAGGATATAAGTGTATAAGAATTACAATTTGTATCTTTATAGAGAATGGTACGGGCCTATTTATAAGATTTTTATTATGTTATTTGATATAATAAATAATATTATTTTTAAAATTCAGTTATGTTAATTAATTGGATGTCATAATTTTTTCATTTACTTGTTTGGATTTGTACATTGGTATTGAATTAAATTAATAATATTAAATAATGATAATTCTTTTTATTATTGACAAAACAGATTAAATATGATGGTTTGTTTCGTCAGTTTATCTCCAAATTGATGGGTTGATGATTTCATACGTCAATCTATTTTGATTTGTTCGCATAGTTCAATGATTTAGCTAGATTTTAAAAATAATATTTATATATTAAAATAAAAATATTTATTTATTTATTATGTGATTAAAATACGTAAATATATTATAATTTAAATTATAAATATTAATAAATTAAGTTTAAAGTATTTATTATAATTAGATATTTTAATACATAAATATAATATTTTTTATTTAACTAATAAAAATATTAATTAATATAAAACTTAAAAATTATATATATAATTAAATGTATATTTTTAAAAAATACAAATTAAAAATATATATATAGATGAACTGATTTACTAACTTGTTAATTTATCTTATGATGAGACGAACTTTAGTTATAATTTGTCCCGATCACAAGAGACTATCGATCATGCCTTGTTTTTAATGAACTAATAGTAAAATTGACCAAAATAAGATCTATTTTATTATCTTTAATTTTATATTATGAATATAATGCATAAATTGAGACAATGTAAAAAATATTTATTTATTTTTAATAATTTTTTAATAATATATTGAGATAATATTAATCATTAAAAAATTTAAAGTTAATTAAATGGTGAGATCCAAATTTATATCATTTATCTATTTAATATATATATATATATATATATATATTATTTATCATTTTTTCATAATAATTATATGATTAAAAATGATTTAAATTATAATTATGGAAGATTTGTTTTTCATTATTATAATCTTCATTATAATAATAAATATTAATTTATAATAAAATTAAAATCATCTTAATAATTGAATATTGGACTTTATCATAGTCTAAGTATGAGTGTAAATTTTAGTCAAAATCAAAATTGACTAAGAAAAACCAAAATTTTAAAGGATAGAATAGTTCCCATATATATTATTGGATCTTTTGGGGATGTACTTCCTTATTTGTTCAATATTCTCATTTTTATTTAAAATGACGTTCAATTAGACCTGAACCCAAACCACGTAAGAATTGACAATCATCTCAACTTAAAATCTTAAGACATTAGGTTATGGGTCATATTTCCTTATATATTGCTCAACATTCTTATTTTTACCCAATATGAGACTTAGAATTACACTTGTATCTCATAACAAGATTTATTAAAACTATATTGCTTATTAAATATAATGAAATATGTAAACTTTAGCAAAATTATGTTTCCATGTTTTACACATTACATATTCATATTTTAAAATACTTAAATGTAAAAGAGTCTTATGTATTGATTTTTGCTTTCACCTATAAAATCTAAATTTGTCATAAGAAATATGCGTAGTTACCCTTACTCTCGTTCCCAGTATGTTTTATAACTTAGCTTGTAGTGGAAAGTTGCTACTCTGCTGTCAATTTCAAATGTTTAATGTTTTATAGGATGTTGCATTGTTGAACTTGAATTACTACTAAACTACAAAAAAGGGGGAATTAATCTTTCATAAGCACCATGTTGTTTGTGTTAAAAAAAAAAAAAAATTTCTTATTCTCACTTCCGAAACCTTCGTCCTTAAAAGTTGTACCGTAGACATCAATCAACTCGCAATCATACATCTCTTATACGTGATTCCATACCTCATAAGACATTAATCAAAATATAGTTTGTAACAAAAAATGGGAGGAAGGTTGCTTAAAACACTATCTCATTAAAAGGTAAATGATGAAAGAAATATTCCTTCTTGAATGTAATTGTGGCCCAAAAAAGAAGCTGCAAATAATGAAAATGCAAGTACTTGACATTATGTGGCCATCTAAGTGGCATATGCTAAGCATAATCTCCACTCCAATTATTTTTTCTTTTTTGTACCAAGTATGTGTTGGCAGCCAAGTAGGAGGACATTATTAGAGTGCCAAAGTAGTGGGTTGATGGATATTTGTATATCTCACTCTCCACCTTCTACACTTCCCTGCTACTTTTAGGATCATAATATAACCTTTTTCTCTAGAAAGTGTTCCCTAACTTTACACAACTTATTTACCACCCTCTATGACCTTTTATCATTTTTGCCTTTGGAAAGAAAAATACTTTGAGAGTGTGACATGGAATTGCATTTCTCTGTACCATGGTGTGCTCGTCAAATGTGAACCCTTCGTTTAAAGATAGAGTCATAATATTTTTTTATATCGGAAGGTGGGTCCTACTACTTAATCAATTTGCTTAAGCCATGATGTCATTCGTTTACTAACTCTTAAAATAGGAAGATGCTGATGATGGTGGGTAAAGCAAAAGAAAGCGTCTTTCATGCCCACACCATTATCCTATAAACTTCATCATCCTTGCATGGGTCCCTACTTTGTGTTTTCTAGCTTTGATTGGTTCTTCATGTTTCAGGTTCCCAACAACACTCACTTTACTATATACATAAATTACTCTCGAACATATCTCAAAATCCTTGGTGTAGTCATTTTCCATGACACCTTTCTCACATTATATATACACATGCTTCTGTATCATCCCTTCATTGCAAAACTTCTGTGACCTTCCCTAATTAATTAAAACCAATTAACCAAACCCAAAATTAATATTCTATATCCCAGATGCTTATTGTAAACATCGATTTGATGTGGACGCTTCATGCAGTGTTTCATAATTCATTATGATAAGCCCCTTATATTATTCTATACATAGGTTGTATTTTCTTCCTTCTTTAGTTTAATTTTATCCGCATATTATTGGACTAATGTATATAGTTAAACATATTATTGAGTTAGTTAATGTATATGAATTATTTATATTGCCCAACTGTGATGTAACATTATTCTAGTTTTTTAAGATACCTGAGTATTATGCTAGTTATGTAATACTTGCTTCTCTGGTATGAAGCATATTTGGTAATGGTGTTTTTAATAAAATATCTTAAAGTTTAAAATTAAATAATAAAATTCACCTATACCGTAGGATACAATTCACTTATCTCTTAGATATACAACAACAATCTATATATTTAAACAAGAAACCTGACATCTAATATACATCCTCTCACTTAGATTTTTTTTATTATTATTTGGTGTGAAATCGAGATGAGGACAAAGCTGGTTTCCAACCAGAATGATTCAGAGGTTAGTACACAGTAGAGAATAATTAATTTATTTGCAATGAAACAAGTCCTGAAATTTTCTTTAGAATGGATAAAGAAAGAAAATGTAGAGTATGGACAGGTGGACTTTACACTGAACTGGATAAGAAGGCATGTACCTATCATGCATTTCCTTGGCCCAACAACTGCTTTGGTAGGACTCCCCAGACACATTGGCCCCAAAACATCAAATGATTCAAGCAAATTTTGGCACGCAACTGAAACTATACTTGGATAGGTTACTCTTGCTTTCACAACTTTTTCTTCACAATATCTCTTCAATAATTATTCATGTAAATCATACTTCCACAAAACTGTTCCCAATCGCCATTTCAGCCACCACAAAGTCTTTGGACTGTCTTACAGTTGCGATTTTCTGTTATCAACTTTTGTGAGAAAGGAACAACAAATTCTATGGCCAGGTTTTGTATACTAATGAAAATATGTTGTCTTTTAAATATGTTCTCTGGCGTATATTCAATTTTCATTTTGTTCTTATAATTCTTGTAAGATCCAAAATTTCGGTTTTTTATTCTGATACAAGAATACTTTAGTAGCTCCATCACATGTTGTCATTACCAAAATAGTTATGCAGCAGCAACATCGCATGAAGTCACGTTTTTGACCAACAGAAAATGATAAGCAAAAAACGAAAAGTTAATCTGGTATTCAGAAATCATAAACACTTTTTTCCTACGACTAAAAACAAAATTGGTATATTTATAAGAACAAAACACGTATATAAGCCAAATGGAATTATATTTTACAAGATGAGGTTAACTGCGGTTTGTCTTCTAGTTTCTTTGTCTGTGAGTCACTCATAATTCTGATCAAAATCTTCAAACTAATATATATCATAAAAAAAAAATTAAGAATATTTTTAAGTAGAAGAAACAAAAACCATATAATAATCATTATATGTCATACAAATGCCAAAGTAAACCAATCAATTGCATGTGATTTGTAAGATGAAAAGGCATCCTAGTAGTTACTCTCTACCCCACGCACACGCTCACGCTATGTTGCGGAATGGATCACCACTGAAAATAATGCTCATTTGCAGTTTGCATTGAAGAAAATATTTGTTTGTGTTCTGCATATGTTCATGAATAATCAATTCTCCACTGATTTAATGAGAGTTTAGATTAACCAATTACAGAAAAAAAAAATGATATTTGAATAGAAAAAACTTACTTTTAGGACCTTTTTGGGTTGCCAATGGGAATAGGTTTAGATGAAGATATACACAAGCTGATCTCCAAGTTGGGTTTAATAAAAATATTTTAATTGTTAATATTTTTCATCAGAATATACATAAACTTTTTTTTATTGTGCTTTCTAACAAATGTTTGTCTAGGAGGACAAGTACAAAAAGAGTAAAACAAAATGGATATAAAACCAAGGTAATGTAACATTAAAAAAGTTTAGAAGCCTTGAAAAACCTAACATCCAAAAAACTGTATGTCTTCGTCCCCCTCTCCATTTTCTCTTATTATGCAAAATGAGTAAAATTCTTGGTGGTATGTAAAATGTAAACATTATCGAGAAATAATGGGTAGGCAAAGATTCTTTTGTTTGAACGAAAGCTAAAGAAAAGTTTTGAATAATGTTAAACATTTCAGGTCATTTTTCTTGTTTTAAGTCAATTTTATAAAATATTGGAAATCAAGTTTTACAAAAAGGCATAGTTGAGATCAACTTTAGAAAGAAAGTTTATACAGAACATGGTTAAAGATTAGCTTGGAAAATTAGTGTACCAATATCTGGTTAATGTGTATTCATCATCCGGTCTGCCACTTGATCACTTTCCCTCCTTGAATGCGTAAAGTAAACCATTAAAACAAGCCGTTGATGATATATGACAAATGGTCATATTCTATAAGGAAAAATCCAAATACATTATGTACAAAACATTTTTATTGAAATTCTACTTACGTTTTTTATATGAAATATTTATCTGAAGGGTTCCATTAAAAAAATGCGTTTCATCCTCTTCCCATTTGAAGATATTATTTAACCTAATATGCAGTGATAAGTCGGTTTAAAACTGCGTGAATCAATAAAATCGTAGCAAATTACCTCGTAATAAATATATTATATGCTTTACAATGATGTTGTATTGAATATTTTCACGTGTAATCATCAACCCTCGTTCACTGTATATGCCGAGGTACATGCATTCAAACGTGGTTCATTTCCAGCTCTGACACCACACCAGAGTGAGTTGCATGTCGTCTTACCCTTTTTTTTTTAATCTATTTATGAGTATTCTTTATTATTATTATTTAAAAAAAAAAGACTGATCTCGCACACTGTGATATAAACATAAAAGAAGTAATTATCATGTGGATCCATCCTATTATTTGTCATCACCTCGCTCTAAATTAAATGCAGGCATGATTCAAAAGTTAACAGCCACACATTATGATTTTATCTGAAAAATTCTGATAATTTGCCGGTGCAGGAATTTAATATGATAATCTGCCTTCATAAAAAACGTAGGGACTACACAAAAAAATTATGACTGGTTATAGCTACAGCTATATTATTGGTATTCACAATTGCTTGGCATATATAGGGGAATAGAGGGACACAGATGATGATGACATCGCCTCTACAAGTTGCTAATTTGACAATTGACAACCCACAGGGTCAATTTCTAGTACAGTGATTACTCTACCATTTTCTCCATCCATTTTTGCATTTGGACTTACATGTACAAGGATAACACAGTTCGAGAAATAAACCTTTCACTGTTTTGAAATATCGTTGGTCTAACGTATAACCAAGAAGCAACGCCCTATAACAATTTTGCCCCTATAGTTTGAACACTGCAATTACGAAGACAAACATGTCAACTTCCGATGCTCGACACACCACACCAGATTTTCGTTCACCTTTATACAATTGTTTATTGAAATTAAAAAAATATCATAGGCTAAATTTCTTAGTATTTTTCTAATAGAAGTTGGAACTAAAGAAAGGGCGAAAAGGAATATTCATACATGTTTCAGAGTGGATGTGGAAGGTTTTGTCTTACGCAAAAACAAGCGATGAGATGAGATGTACGTGGAGTTGAAGATGACCTCTAGGGCAATAAGAGAGTGGCATCTTCAACTCATGAGTTAATCAATGGGATGAGGTCACAGGCACAATTATTCTAACCTAGTTAACGTAACGTAAGAGAAGAAAGAAAGTGTGGGCTATGTATGCTACGAGTCAACTCTCTTGTATGAATGATTTGTTTTTGTTGCTTTGTTTAGATACTTGTCAAGGAAGCTCCTTCCCACGGGCCACCGCGCTAAGATTCCAATCATCATCCACCTTTAGGGCTGTCACCCTACCACACGTCCTACAATTTCCATTCCTTCCATGTGATTCATGGGACAAGTACAACAATATGGACTCAACCCACCCACCAAAATATTTCACGCGTATCCTTTTAAGCATAGACTCACCAAAACACACTTCACCAAAAGGAAGATATTTAACATTTTTTTTCTTTTCGAGTGTCAAAGTTTAGTGAGTGTCCCACATTAATTCCTTTCCCTCCTTTATGAGATTACGCGTGAAATGGAAAAAGGTTTTGAAGAGGTTGCGATTTTGGGTGTCACCACTTACAACTCAAGAAATGACTTGTATCTGATTTCCATGTTAAGTTGTGTGGATTAGCTTCCCAATTCACATCATTTATGTCCATCTTTGTCAGGGAAAAGCGAAACTTAGCATGTACTATTTCTTCTTCATCATTCTCTTGAGATTATTCATTCCAAAATAAGACTGTTGTAAACATTTACTATAACCTAACACATTTTTTTCATGTTATAATAAAATATGTTTTTTTAATTCTATAGCCGGTGTCAGAGTAATTATTAATATTTATCTTATACATTACACTATTTTATTTTAATAAAAAATATAACTTTGATTATTTTTTTCATACTAAATAATTATATCATTCCAAAAGTAGTTTCAGTCGAGATTCTATTTTCATTTTTTATTAATAATTTTAAGTTTCAATGAAAACTGTAAAACAAAATATCTTTTAAGTGTGATTAGTAGAATTAAATGATTGTAATATCTAACTTTTTTAATTAGTGAAAAGTTTATGTTTTGTGTGTATTGAGTTATAAAGAATATTATGCATGATAACCATATAATTTTTATAATTATTATCTTAAAAATTATATTGAAAATATTTTTTTATTAATGTTATAACAAAAATATACTGTAAATATATTTCAATTAAATTCAATAATTTAAGAATGAGTTTTAATTCATACAATTTTTCATTAAAATTTTCAGTTCGACTATTGAGAAATGACAAACTCATAGTTTTAGCATAGATTGAGGTGAAGAAATGGATAGAGTGACATGAGTTTTCATGGGATGAGGCGAAAAGAACTGTTCCTATGATGCATCTTGGTCAACAACATCTATTAATTATTTGGGCCAGGACAGATCAGTAGATTCAACTGACTAGGTTGGGCTTCGGCAAAAACAATTTTTGGGCCCATAATAGGTGGTTCCGTCTCTTAGTTACACAATTTTATTCAAAAAAAAAAATTATCTTGTAGAGCACAATTACACAATTTATCCTACAGTTCAAATTACACAATTTATCACAAATATAATTAATTTTGTTCCACAGATGATTGACTATTATTTGAGATTTCAATAGTCCTATAACAGTGTTAATTACTTACGAGATAAAATTATAAAATCTCAAGATACTCGTAGCTACATATAAATATATGATTCCATCACAATAATTATTTTTTAAGTCGCTTAACCTTATAAATGTTTAATTCAATCAAAATATTTTATTTTAGTCACTTAGGAAGCAAAGTCAATCATATTCATATCTATAGTTAATCATTGATGAGTAATATTTTTATAGCATTATTAATCAATTGTAAGATAAAATTAAGTACCACTAAATTATCTTAATAATTTCATGATTCTAATATCATAAATTGATTATTACAGATAATTGTATTAATTTATATTAAACCACTCCCTACGCTTTTATATATGGACCGAAGCCTCAAATCAAGCCACCTCACAAAATCCATTGTTCATGTAAGTCTCAAGTTATGTCTCACCAATTCTAAACACACCACCAAATCTTTTTAGTATACAATTATTCCAGGTAATATGTTTTTTTAAGAAAATTCTCAAGCTCAATTGTTAACATTTAACTAAAACCACTTCCATCAAAAGCAAGCTTAAAATTTCATTTTAAATTAGAGAATGGGTTATGAACTGTGTTTCTAATAAAAACTTAGTTTTCTCAATCAAAGGAATACTGAGAACCCAGGTAATCCCTCCATTGAAAGTCATCTTTATTGCTTACACAATATTCTTGTAATTTTCTCCATTGTAGTTGTGTCATCAACGACACTCAAAAGATAAAAAACAAAAACAGAAACAAAAGATTCTTCTCAGATTTAAAATTGAAACGAATAACACAGATTCATACATTTTAGATATAGATTTATTAGTTTCTCTTTGAAAAAATATCCAATAATTAAGAGAACACAAAATGACCCAGTTGCACTAACCACCGCCACCATTTAGTGTTCATTGTCTAAATCTTCCAATCCATCCAAGTATGAAACATATTCGATCTTCTGAATCAAGAGTAGCCTTGCTTGTATTTGCGAAAGAGCTCCTCCGTTTTGGTATTCCTAAAGGCAAAGCACCCTACCATATACACTGCGATCAAAGCAACTAGAGTGACGATCAATATCACATTGGCCCTTCTCCATTCCACTCTAAGGGTTGCCAACAAACCAGCTTTGCATGAGTCACAGTTGTAGCAAAGTTGTGCTTGGTCGTTGCTCCATTTCATGCAATCCATGTCTTCTGCCGTGTTGATGGGGCTAATCCAATACGTTGGGTTCACAAACGTGTAACCACATTTTGTTGGGGGCTTGCAGCACCCTGACTGCGTGAGATGAAAGTGCAAAAGGAATAAAGGGTAAAGATGAATAACATGCAAGGGGGCAAAAACTCATCAAAAGGATAACCTTTTTGTTCTCTCGTTTTTCTTTTGATCAGAAACCAGATTTCTCAAATGATGCTTACTTGTACCATAGGTTGCTTGGTTAGCAAGTTTGTGTTTGAAGGGAATATGAAATCTTTCAAGCTATGAAAGGGCAACAGTTGCGAACTTTAAACTATACAGTTGCATGTTTTCTACAGAAGTCGAAAGAGGTGGATGAGAAAAAAATTGTTAAAAGACAAGGACGGAAGGTTTATGGAAGTAATCAATTTGATCTGTTTTCCAGGATTCTGTTATAGTTCTAGCACTCGAAATAGAGACCAAAATAATCTATTGAACTCAGATAATCATGCTTGCTGTAAAACCATTCAGGGAGGTTTATCATGATGTTTTTCATAAGCTTTCTTTAAAATTATCTGCTAAATAATTGAGTCTGAAAGAGTATAATTAAGAAAAAGCTTAATACGAATAACTAAATTAACTAGTCTTTGATCACAATGAATTAGTTAACTGGATCTTAAAAGAATATGAGAGAGTGTAATTAAGAACAAAAAGGAGATGTTAATTAATAACCTGAATGGGGGTTAGGTGTGCATTAAAGAAGTCCTGCGCGGTTCGATAGCGTTGATTCAAGTCAGCACATATATTTGATGACATAAGACACCTTCTAACGTTATCCCATTTGTTGGAGCTTCTTACTCTTCGACGAAGCCAAAGTGAGAAATCATCGATACGATATTCCAAGTAGGAGCGATTGGGTTCAATGTTCCCATGCCCTCTAAGGGTGACAGCATACGTGAAAACCACCAAGCTAACCAGCAACACAATAAGCACAAGCATGGCAACCAGGTAGAACACGAGAAGCCAAGGGTTCCTCCAAAAGGATCCTATAAACCCTGCCAGAGCCACTACAAGTATCAGAACCCCCAAGATTATCACAGGCCATTGTAGAATTTTGACGCACGAATCTGCTGGCTCTGTTGTTAGCCAGATCCCTGCAGAAATGATAGGAATTGAGAGAAGCACTGCAACGAAGTTGATGGCCCCTATCACATTGTTGCTGAGTGCCATGTGGATTAATTATGAAGGATGGTATTTGGTTCTTGATTAGTGAGGCTCGGACAATAGAGAGAGGTGGAGGTTGGTTTGAGGTTTTAGATGACAATATAGAGGAGTCATGGTTACTAATTAACCCCACGTGAATTTGTTCCTTACCTTGGATACGTGCAAGCTTCTTTAGCAAAGTTATAGCGTTTTAATAATTGGGATTTGCATGTTGAGGTCACATTGTAGGAAGACCTTTTGGAAAGGAATACCTTATACATTAGTGCAAAGAGAGAGAGAAAGTAGAAAGCCATGAAAGCAGTGGAAGAAAGAATCCACTCGTCCTCGTGCCTTTGCATCAGAGGTGGTTTTTATGACACTAAAATGTCGATACAGAGTAAAACATGTTATTCAAGGTGATGTGTTTGTATTGGATAAACATTCCATCCTTTCTATGGCCCAAAGGCAGATTTTGCATTTTGGATTACTAAGGCCCAAATCTAGGTTTGCGCTCCTTTAGCCCATCTAAGACGCATGAAACGCACATCATACACAAAACCAAACGAGTTTATTCCAACATATAATTATCATTTCATGTTTTATTTGAAAGAAATATAAAATTATTAAAACAAAATAAAGGACATATTCTTTAAAAATATGTTTGTTACAGTAAGGAGGTCGCAAGGTCAAGACAAGGTTGTAAAAATGGTGAAGTTTCACAACTTCACATATCATCGCAACAATAAAAACGTTACCACCGAAATATGGATCATCGAAATAGTGGATTTTTAAGCACATCTTACATCAATTCAATTAACAACCCAGGTAGAATGTCACATCTTACATCATCGAAATAATTGATTTTTCAAATTGATTTTGTGAAAAACTAATGAAAAATATTATTGTAAAAGGATACTTTTTTTAGTAGTAACAAAAAGAATCCAAAAACAAATTGTAAAAATGTCGCTATACAAAGATGAAATAATTAATTATTTAGTTGTGTTATTCCATTCACATTTTTCTTTTTCTTCTCTTTCCTATTTTCAGTCTTTTCTTCTATTTTTAAAATAAAACCATTATATTTATTCCATTTTTCGTCTTTACTCACTTTTTTATTTTTATTCTCCCTGCAAAAGATACCGGGACAGATATATTCACGAAAAAAGAAAGAACCAGTGAATAATGGACATGAAATTGAGGATCTCTTTAAGATGTTCCATCAAATACTCAAAAAGGTTCAAATCAAGAATTTCTTGATTTTTGTGCACATCATTGTGTTGCTCGTTTGTAACGACGGCTGGGAAAATATCATTAACACCTCAAATATTATTAAGTGAATAAAATATATATATTATATAGATAATATAATGTAATATGAAAAGATAAATAAAAGAAAATTATAAATATTATGTAAATATAAAAAAAAAAAAAGATATGCATATACATGACATATATACCAGTTGATTTTAGAAAAGAACGTTGTTGCTTAACTAAAAGCAATCAGATATTGGATCGATTTTTTTAATAACACTAAATACATCTTCTTTCTTCAAATGTGATGTGTCGTTAGTGACGAGAGTTAAATATTAAAGTGCATTAAAGACAGGGAAACAAGATAAGGTCGCATTCCGTTGCATAGTGACCACAAGATATGTTCAACTCATGCACCCACATCGATCCCTTCTTCTTTCTATAAACCAATAATAAGATATGATATTTAACCACGACAAATGATAGGGTCTCTTGTTTTGAGCAAATGGTTGGTTAAGTGCTTCGTAAAAAGTGACCGTTATAATTAATCACAAGCTTTAAAACTCACACTATTCTTAGCCTCTCTTTTTTTCTTTTTTTTTTTTCTGTCATGATATATGCTATGTACCATGATGTCAAATTAGCCAGCCATATAATTGATTTGTTGTCGTGTAACACAAGGTTTGGTTTATTGTTATCTATGTCTTTTAGAAGATAGGGGTAGTGTTGGAGGAGTTATGTTAATATTGAAATATTTACTTAAAAAGAAGTTAACTGGTCCTAAACTTGGCCTCAAGTTATGGGAGAGAAAGATATTAACTGATGGAATCAGGGGGAGAAAGAATATATGCAAATGCAAAGTAAAATATAGAGTAGTCATATGCTAAAGTAATGTGAAGCACAGAGAAGAGACAAAGGAGCTCCATTTCTTATTTAACAACAAAAGTGCTAGTGTTCCCAGCAAAATAGATTCGTTACTATATTTTGAGAAATCTTTTTAAAAGAACATTGTGATCTACTTATTCAAGTATTCACCACATGGAACAAGTTCTTCTCAGTCTGGTTTTTCCTTTTACAAATGAGTGATACAATATTGAAAGCAAAAAGTCCAAAAATTTATAGCATAACCCCACTTCTATGTCGGGTACAACTAACTTGACGGCCAAATTATCTTCTCCAACAGCTGTAGGCATTAATGAACTATTCATTAATCTATAAGGATTTTGCTTCACATTTCATGAAGAATTTAATCCCATTCAATTAGATGGTAGCATAGGACCAAAAGAAAAATGAAAAAGCATGGATCATTTTAATAAATTCCCAACCAACATCAACAACACCCCTATACCCCTCCCTCTTGGTCAACAAACAATTTTAACCAGCATATATAAACTAGAGAAAAAAAAAAGTTATGAACAGCAAAAGAAAAAGAAGTAGGGAAAAGAAAAGTTAAAGTATTCCCCCCACCAGAGCTCCAATTTTCCTTGTCGTTGCCTTGCTTTCCATCTAAAAGCATATGGCCCCTTATTCACGTTTTCTCTTGTCTTCAAGGAAACGTGAGTTCTGCCAAGTCTCTCTGTGCATGCTCTTCTTTCCCTTTCTCTGCCACATATAAGCATATTTTCACTTCGTTTTGTACCTCTCTGTGCTTTCTATTCATTGGTTTGACATAAAACTTTTTCAACCCCTAAATTTTCCTTCCATGTAATGTAATATACAAGTCTCTTCTACTAACTGCTATGTTATTTAAGTAGTGTTCTTTAGTCTCCGAGGTGTTAAACTCTTCACAGCATTTTTCTTGTCAGAAAATGAAAACAAACTAGATAGGAAGACAGAAAACCATGATTCTAAAATAATTTATGAGTTAGTATATGCCATATATAGTGTGTCCATCCATGGCTGCTGCCGGCAACCCCAGAACTTGGATTCCATATATGAACAGCAAAGACTGTTCAGAAGGATTTTGCAGCTTGTATTGTCCACAGTGGTGTTACATAGTGTATCCTCCTCCTCCACCCTTTGAGTACCCTGATGATGATTCAAGTCCAAATTTCTCCCCTCTTGTCATTGCAATCATTGGGATCTTGGCCACTGCTTTCCTTCTGGTGAGTTACTACACTCTAATATCCAAGTACTGCAGCCCCAGAGAGTCTGCACGCAGAGACCCAAATGATGAGTTGCAAGGCACTCACAATCCCTCTCTCCACGAACCATGGAATGCTTCAACCACAGGCCTTGACGAGGCTCTGATCAAATCCATTGCAGTTTTCAAGTACAAGAAAGGGGTTGGTGGTTCCGTTGGAGTCACGGATTGTTCAGTTTGCCTCAGCGAGTTTGAAGACGATGAAAGTGTTAGATTCTTGCCAAAGTGCAGCCACGTTTTCCATGTCCCTTGCATTGACACGTGGCTCAAGTCTCACTCTAGCTGCCCCTTGTGTCGTGCTGCCATATTCACTTTCAACGCTTCTGTTCCTCGGGCTCATACCCCAGAGGAAGAGATGCCTTCTTCAAGGAATAATGAAACTTCTTCCGAGAATGAAAGTGTTGGAAGTGGCAATGAGTATGGAGTGGAAGAAGAAAGCATACACCATGCTAGGGCTTATCCAAAGCCTGCATTGCGTGCTTTCAGTGACTTAAGTAGCTTTGAGGGCAGGCACAGAGTGATTGAGATAAGAGATGAAGTGAGTGAATCCGTTGGTAGGTCAGTGTCTATGGACCATTCGTTTCAAAGTGGTGTTTCTGTTGCTGATGTGTTGCAAATGCATGAAGAGGAAGATTCCCAAGTGGAAGGGTGTTCTACTAATGAACCTGGTCCTTCAAAGAGATCACACAGAGAGAGCTACAGAACAAGGGTGTTGCATTGTGTTTTGAGTCCAATTGCAATGAAGAGATCGTTTCCCAGTGACAGATATTCAGTCAGCAAAAGTGGCAGAGCAAGGCAGAGAACTATACCCATCTGAGAATTTCCCTTGTGTAAGAGAAAATTCATCAAATCTTTGTATATTGCAAATGTGATTAATATGCTATGGTGTATTAATCAGCGTGATAACAGTGATAGCAGAGGGTCAAGTGTGTATTTTTTCTGCTGCAATTTGGATCCATCAATTAACAAATAACGATTTCCATTTTCCATGAATGCAACAGTTCTTCTAGACACCTCTAATCTGATTCTTGTATGTTTTGCATAAGCTCTCTCGTCTTAGAAGTTTTTTTGTTTGTTTAATGTTTAGTGGAAACTCAAATACTCTATTTAACCAAGAGAACTAGATTAAAGAAAAAAATGTTTGAATTGTGAAGAAACGCTTTAAAAAATAATTAGGAAAACGTTTATATATAATCCATCAACAAAATTTCCACATTTATCTATGGGTGATAAATTTTATAATGGACAGAGAATTTGATAGTTTAAGAAAATTAAAATATATTAAATTTGAATATTTTTAATTTTAATTATTTCATTATTTTTAACCAAATTTATTAAATTTCATTTTTTTTTATTTAGTAAAACATTTCAGTTACTTACAAAATTTTATTTAATAGTTGAAGTTTGGAAAAATTTATTTTAGTAGGTGATGATCAGAATATTTTGGAGGTATTTTTGACCAATGTCAACCACAGTTATTTCAACAAGCATCAGTCAAAGTTCTTTTTCAATGTTTTTCATTGGATTATTTTTTGACTGACCCTTTTCAAAATTCTTATAAAAATTAATAATAATAATAATAATAATAATAATAATAATAATAATAATAATAATAATAATAATAATAATAAAATAGTCCTCAAATGTCAATAAAAAAGTATCTAAGTCGAAAAATAATTTTGTTGACATAATCAAATTAAATGCATATTAACATTAATTACAAAATATTTATGGTCTATGATTATAATTTCACAATCCACTTTCAATCTATATAATATAATAATACAATAATAGATATTATTATTACTATATTGAGTTAGTTATATTTTATAAACACGATTATCAATTTATCAATAATTCTTATAAGCTCAATTGAAAAATCCGGATTCACCTACATTATTAATAAAAATAATTCTGCTAACTATGTTGACATATGATCATGAGTTATCTTGGAAAAAAAAACAACTTTAATCAATGTTGGATAAAAAAAATTCTCAATTGATATTAATGAAAATATCCAAATTTTAACTAAAAAAAATGTTTGACATTAGTATTAATGTTGATTAAGAAATCTTAACTTCTTGACTAGAAGTTAAGATGGAATTGAAATTCTTGATTATATTTATTTATTCTTGGTTAATTGGGTTATAAATTAAAAAAATTCATTAAATTATTAATTTCTTAATTTTTTTATATTTTAGGGCATTTTTTAAATAAATTACTTTATTTATTATATAAATAATTCAATAATCTAATATTTTAAAAAATATATTTAATTAATATATAATCAAATAAAAATATATTATTATTATTATTAAAATTATTTAATAATTTTAATATATTGGATTATATTAGATATAGGTTGAATATAGAAAGGGTATGAATGATAATTGAATTTTAAGAGATGATGCCGTGTAATTACAGAGTGGAAGTCAGGGAATTGCAATTATTGCCAACACCGCTTTCCATCATCAGTTAAGCGCGTGGCAGACACCTTTTCACCTCAATTCAATCTAATCATTTTTTTTTTTACTAAAATTTTTACCAATCCAATTTAATTCATTCTTCAGTTAATTTAATTCAGCGGACTAAATTAGATTTAAAAAAGAAAATATTAAATAATAATTATTATTATTAAATTTTGATTTTAAATTAAATTAAATCTCATATTAAACATACAAAATTTATCATTCAATCTTAGAGATTAAGTCATAGATAAAATTGAATGTAGTTTATTTAAATTATATTAGGTAAAATTAGATCTTAAAATTGTACACCTCACGATTTACACATGTAAGAGGATTTTCTACTACAAAACATGTCTGCCTCCAGTGTCTCATCCTCAAATAAAATATTTTCAGTAGATAATGGAAAATCAAAAAAATATATATGAAAATTACTTCTCAAATAACTCCAAGGTATTCAATCACTTTCATTTCATTTCTTCTATTAATTTGTGCCTAAAATTCTATTTAATACATCATCAGTACCATAATGTAATTCCGGAAAAATTCATCGTTTATGAAATGATATCAAGTTAGGTTTTTGTCCTATACAAAAATGAACGACAATATAATGCTCTAATTTCTTTTTAATGTAAAATTGCATTATATTATATGAAACATAATTTTGTTCAAGTTATAAAGACATTGTGGAAGTAACTCATAGTTTTGGTCATACATTAGTTTATTTTAAAAGAGTAATATTTTTTAATTTACGCTGTCATATGAATAAACCCATTTATAAATAAATATATATATATATATATATATATATTAAAAATATACTTAATTATATAATTTTTTTAAATTTTATTTATTAATTAGTATTTTTTATTATAAAATTAAAAAAATATTATATTTATATATTAAAATATTTAATTATAATCAATAATTTTAAATTTAATTTATAAATATTTATAATTTAAAATATGATATTATAATATATTTATATATTTAATACTATTAAAAAATAATATTTTAAATTGTGATTTTTTTTCTGGAAGAAATTATTACATTTTGTCTTATGAAGGGATTACTTGTGGCTAAAAATCTTTGAAAATAAAGTAATGCTAATTCATTAACTAGAGTTTGGTGGTAGAGAATTTAAGTAATATGTACAAAGTATTGGGTTCAATTAAGACAACCAAACCAAATTCAATATAATTAAATTGTTGAATTTCATTCATGAACTAAATAAACCATGTTCATGTTAAATGCTGAGCTTGTTAAGAAAATTAATTTAACTACAATTGTATATATATAATATGACTCAATTCAATTGTTCATTTTCATATATATATAATTTTTTTTTAATTAGTATAATTATTTTTTAATTAACTTGATATATATATATATATATATATATATATATATTTAAATAAATTAATTAAAATATGTTAATTAATTTTAATTTTAAATCGAATCATGGTGAAATGTACATAAACTTAAGTCAAAATGAGTTATTTAGTATAAAAAATTAGTTAAACCTCAAAACGAATCAATACGAGTTAGGTTTGGAAGTGAAGCAATTTAGTTATAAGTTATATAGTTAATGGTGTAAAAAAAAATGTAACATCAGTTTATAATTTTGAAAGGAAAAAAAATATAATAAAGATATTTAAAAAAAAATTAAAATAAATATATATTATTTTATTATTCATATACGTACGATAAAATTTATTTAATTTCATTAATAATTTCTTGTTCTGAAAAGAAATATATATAATTTTATAGAAAAAAGAAATAATTTTTTATAATTAAAAATAATATAAAAGAAAAAAATAAAATTTATTATAAAAAAACAATTACGTTAGTTGGAGGCTTGAAGATAGGTACCTACTTAATATATTCTACCATACAATCATACGAAGGTGTTACATGTCAACTTGCTTGTGATGATACATTGCAAACATCATATGTTACCAACAATTTCAAATAAATGATTGATTTGAATTTCGATATAGTGAGAGAAAAAGGAGAAGGATGAAGAGATAGTAATGGAAGAATGGTGACGGTTTGAACTGGATATATTAAAGAAAAATAAAAATAAGGAAGAGGATAATCTCACTTGATTTTAAAAAAAAATTAAAAGAAATACATATAAATTATTACGTATACCCATCAATTAGTTTGCTTAAACAAATATAAAATATTTTTGTTATGATCATAATTTATTCTAATTATTGAACACTATAATAATTACAAGTATATTTGACTATTATTTGTTATTTTATAATAATAATAATGAATACTTTTAAAAGTAATATTAAAGTATACTAAATTTTTTTAAATAAATAACTTATCCTTTTTTTCTCTTCTTCTTTAATTTTTTCCTTGACAAAAATGTAGAAACAAATTTGGCAATTACTATCTCAATTAAGGCCGGGCCTAAAGTTCGTTTGAGGACTCCAAGACTAGAGCCATAAAAAAAGTCTAAGAAAATTTAATTAAAATTTAATTATTTTAATTGTAAAGAGAAAAACTTTTCAATTCTTTTAACAATAATTTGTTTTTGGCCATCTTTCTCAAAATGTTATTATTTTAGCTTATTTAAACATTAAAACTAATAAATTTTATATACAAAATTAAACATTTTGTCGCTATAATATTTTATATATGTAAAGATCTTTATAAATAAATAAGATGTTTAATATATAATAAAAGTTTGTATATGTTTTTAATCTATATAAAATAAAGTAGTGATTTATTTTATTTTAAGATTCCAAAAACATATGAAAAAACTATGTGTAATATGAATTTTTTTAGAAGATTTTTTTTCTCATAATAATAAAATCTTTAAGATTAAAAATTATGGAAGAAAAAAATAGACATTTTATCCTAGAGAAAAAAGAAAGATAAATTATTAGAAATAATTTTAGTGAGGAGAAAATAACAAAATGATAATAATATTATTAAAAAAAGTATATATATATATATATATATATATATATATATATATATATATATATAGTTTTTCATCTAGCTGGTGAATATTTTTTTCAACTACATTTACTAAACGTTGACTATGACAGCTGAATTGGATAAACCAAAGTCTTTTAGGGCCCAATTCGTCACACAAGGACCATTCTTATTATTCTTTTTCAATTATTTCTTATTCATATCTCTCTTTACCTTTGTACGTTTTATTCGTATCCCTCTTTTGTGTAATATAATATTAAAAAATAAGTACAGGTAACAATATTCATAAAAAAAAGAGGAAACATTTTAGTCGAATTTAATTATAAAAGATAAATTTATTAATTTTCATATTAACGGCGTTCAGAGACCAGACAACCTAGAAATCTGTCCCCACAGCACAGCCACAGAGATGTGTATAGATAGAGGGAAGGTGTGATGAAGTTGATTTGTTTTGGGGATCTTCCATGCATGTCCATTTCTCTGATCTTGCTTACACTAACAGACACAATGTCTTAATGAGGATATTGATCTATCGATCACACAACGAAACAAAACTGAAAACTGAGTGATGACAATCAAAACAAAAGTAAAATTGCATTCATCCCTCCCACCCATTTCATCCAACCCTTTCATTCAAAACAACTACGATAACATAAAAACATATCACATGCCCCAAGGTGCAAACTATCTCCAAATCACTCATTCATAAGCAATGAAATTTACTTACTATGGTTTAGCAATGGAGACCAGTATTTCATATCAATCACCCCGAAAAATGTTTTCCTTTATACTATTTCCTGTCACATTCCTTTCGGTTTTCTGTGACCATTTAACTCATCCAAATGACTTAATTCCCATGTTTAGCTTGCAAATGCATATATAATAATTCAATTGGTTACGACATTTTTTGTTTCTGTTTTTACATTAAAGAAAAAGGTTAGGGATGGGGAGAAGCTCTTCCACGTGAAGAGTCAGAAAATATCGTTCATGATTAAATTTTATATTAAGGAAACTAACCAAAACCAAGATATGAGGTCAACCATTTATCTTTTGTATCAATGTTCCGAAGTAATGTTTGCAATGAAGGTAAGCACGAACCCCACTTGCAAGTTGCAACCAAACAAAAATCCAAAATCGTTGCCTTTCAAAACTAACCGCAGATACATTTTTGCTTTATTATTATCTTGCTGCAAAAGTATGTCCATAAATCTTACAATTTCACTATCTCCAATAACTGAAAAAGAACAAAATTTATAAATGTAGCCACAGCGCCAACATGGGCCAATTTTGTTTTCTTTTACCTCCCCCGTATATAGGATGGACTCTCCTTTAATTGTGTCAACACTCAAAGGCATTTTCGCCCAAACAAGGATTAATCCACCACTGTGCCTGATTGTTCTAAAATAGAAACATGATGATGAAAGTTTTGGCTCGTGTTTGCCTATAATAATTTAGTTCAGTATTCGAGTGGATTCATTAATCAAGCCTTTTGTTTATTAGTAACATACGAGATGTTTCAAAATAAATAATAAAATTTTATGTCATGAAGATTAGATCCTCATTGCCACGTACTGAAATACATCTAACTGCAAACGGGATAAACTGTATCAACATTTTTCTTCATTCGGTTTTGAGTCTAGTCTGTCGAAATTTTGTGGAAATTATTCCAAACAAGTTGTACTTGAAGCAGCCTAAAAAACACCATCTACTGCTACTATGTTTTAGCATGAACACATCAGTTGGACATCAAACAAACAAAAACAAAAACTAAAGCCATCAGCAAATATTCTTTCCCTCCCTGTCCCTTGAGGTGGGTGTAGAGGGTTGATTTGGTCATTTCACTAAAATTTCGTGGCCCCAAATGAACCTGATCAACAGCAAAGCAAAGCCTCCTCTTCAATTCTTGCAAGCAAATGATGAACAGCAGTTGCAATACCATCTACTGAACCAAGTTGGAATCCTTCTTCAACCTTTATAAAAAAAACAAAAAATACTAATATTTTAGCTAACCTTTCGCGATTTTAGACAAGGACATCCTAGCTTTACAACTGGAAGAATATGGAGTTGAGGAAGGTGGAAAATGGAACACAGTATACTAAATGAATAGTTAATGTAGTAAATTACATACCTTAGCACTGATGGAATAGAATACCAGAGGGTCTATGGTGGTGACGTTAAGATGTAGGACGGTGAGGTAGAGAGTTTGGATACCAGCTACTAACTTTGTTAGCTGCCCATGGGTTTTCCTAGTGAGAATTCGAAGGTTTGCATGGGTCTCGATTAAAGTGACCTCGATATCAGCTATGGCAGCTTTGGCCTTGGATGTGTATTTGTTAGGAGTCTGGGACCATGTGTACTGAGGATACAAAAAAAATTGTGCAAAAGGGGGTTGCATGAGTTTGGAAATGGCCGTATTTTCATTTGTTTGCGCCACTTCTTGCTGTAGAAGTTGCAGCTTTCTTGCTTCCAGTGTTTGCAGGAGGTGCTCTAGCTCCTTCACAAACTCTATGGCACCACCCACTATAGAGGCTTGGTCACCCTAAAACATAAATTTGCATCTTGAAAAAGTTAGTGTATTGAGAACAGTTCACAGAACTTTAATTTAGACATATAGCACTACGACTGGCCCAAGTATATGAATGCAAAACATGTTAGATTTCAAAGTTTCAATTATTTGGCACAACTAGAAGCGGTTTACAATTTAGGTTTAGTATTACTTCTTTTACTTCACCTTATACAGAGAACTAAAAAGAGCAGTATAAAGAACATTATCTTTGATTCTGCATAGTTATTCCAGCTCAGATATAAAGTTTAGAATATTTGTTTTAGTTTAGCTTTGTCCTGCTTAGCATTATCGTCAAAAGAGAATCTCCTCATCTCTACTATAATTGGGACCATAACATAGTATTGATTTTGTGAAAATTTCCAATTACATTCGTTATGAGAAAGAAAAAAAGAAGAACTAGATAGAGAATGAAAAAAAAAAAGGCCAAAACAAACCTAGAGACCGAAAAAGAAGAAAGCAAGAAGCCAAAACAAACCCTTTGGACGTAGGACTCAGGCATGAGAGAACGAAGTACAGCAAGATGCTCATTCATCTGCTTCCTGCGGTTTCTTTCCACTGTAATGTGAGTGATTCTTTGAGTCTCAGCCTCTTCCTTGTTTTTGCAAACCCTTGGCTTTCTTTTCCTCTTCTTCCTACCTTGCACCCCCACCACATTCAGCTTCCCGCCAATGGTTTCTGGCTCGCTGGCTTGGCGCTTTCTGGTCCTCATTGCGCAGTTATCAAATGAGGGATCATGTTCCTGATAGTTCACAAAACTTTCCAAAAAACTAGCCTCCGAAGAGTCATGGCTGCTAAATGGAGTTGCAGAGATAGTGTCGTAGACGATGAAGTTGGAAAACTCATTGGATGGAAGAGTTTCTAAAGCCATTATTATTCTCTCTTCACCTGAAGTTTGTTTGAACTTCCCTACTTGCTAAGAGAACAAAGTCACCGCCTGAGTTTTCATGAGTTTCTCATAGACATGACAGCCATATATAGAAAATCTCACTAACTTGGTTGATGCAGTTTGAGTTACAGAGGAAGACGAAGCTGAAAGTTAAATATCGGAGAATGAGCTAATTTAGATTAGAGGATACGCAGCACGTGAGAAGGGCAGAAAAGGTCTTGTGCTTTTCAGGAATCAGAAAGGTGTAGTAAAAGGAAACAGGCTCCTCACACATCCATGCTTTGGTTTCCTTCCCAATTTCATAGATGCTGTCAAATACTGGCACAGCTTATGCCAATGAAGAGTAGGGTGGGGGACCCAAATCTATATAGAAATAAGCATAAAAACAACAGAACAAGCTGTGCAATAGTTACTCATCACATTCAAATCTGTGTTGGGCTTTGCAGGAAATGAATGGCTCACGCATCCGAGATTCCTATATAAATAATTTAGACAAAGACTATGCATGTATTTGACAATCCACCGTTACAACATTCTACATGTCAAACCCATGTCAACATTGTGATCTAGATGAAGATCCTATGGTACATATTAATATTTCAGGCTACATGTAGAGATAACGTTTAACAGTATCTAAACTTGCTGTGTATATAATTAGATCTTCATCATTATAATCTACAAAATTACTTACCCCAAACTTCTGAAGCAATCTATCAATTAATTATGTTGATGAAAATAGTGTTTGGTACCTCTTAATTTCTTATAAAGCCAATGCAGCCCCTACTACAAGCTATGGAATTCAGTTATTACTTGTATTGTACAAGAGGCTACACCTTAATGCCATACTGTATACAAAAAGTGAGGATGGTCAGGACCACCAAACTTGGCAAGGAATATATTTCGTGTCTGCCTCCTTCAAATAAGTTAATTACAAACATGTAGACGCAAGTGCGTAAAATTAAGCACAGCTTAACACGTAGAAGTGAATACTTCATGACAATTACCACATCAGTATTAGTGTTGATGTGGAGTCCTTGTGGGCAATTGATGTGTAGTCCTTGTGGGCATAGTCTACACCTCGATGTGCATGTTTGTGAAAACACCAGAACTTCAGCCATATGTGCTGATAAGGACAAACGAAAGGACAGAGGTCGAGCTAGGAGCGTGGTCCAAGTTGTCAGACTCTGCTGGATTAACCATGTGACTGTAAGCTCTACCCTTCTCGAAAAAGTACATCATCATCTGCAGGTCCACATCACTTAGGCTACATTCAAATCCCCATAAGTCAGCTTCAACCTTTCTTTTTCCATTATATATATTGCCTAGAAAGATTTATGCATCATTTTACCCTCTCTGTTTTCACTGTGCAATCATGTATATAAACAACAAAGGGTTCCCAAATCAAGATGAATGAAAATGAAGCATGGGACATAAAAGCAACGAAGTATGAGTTGTAGGTTGTTTTTGCTGAGTGGTCAATTGGTATCATGTTGAGATACCATACAATTGCATGTGCAGGAAAATGACTCTCTTTTATTGGGTCAACGAAAAGGCTGTCCGTAAGTGTCATAAAGATGAGCTTTGTCCAGTCTTCGTCATTCTTATGGTACATCTGCATTCCTAAATAAGCTTACTAGGGGATGATTAAAAAATCCTTGGTATTTATAAACCCAGACTGAGTTCAACGGCAGTAGAATTTTCATAATGTATACGTTTACAATCAACCAGAATCGCCACACTAGGTTTTATAATAAATTCAATTGATGATTAATATAAAAGATTTCTTACTTGAAAATAAATAATATTCGCTAATAGAACAAACTACAGCATTAACTATTTCACCAAAATTTTAATCTAATACCAAAATAATCTACAATACCAATTACAATTGATAAAATATAAGCATAGACAAACAAGATAACAAGGGCTGTGATTGATGACGCGGACAGGGTATCAACAGACAAGTTTACCAACCCCGTGAGAATATTTGCCTGCACACAAATTATTCGATAAAATTAGAACTGATGTACAGAAAGAGAAAACATATGTTTGTAAGGAATATTTTGTTTTCACCAATAGAAATGTAGCCAGTAAGTTCCTATTGAATGCTTCTTCAAGTATTGAAGTTTTCCTTCCAGGAACAAGATCAGCCAGCATTAGAATTGATAACAGCTGAAGAATGAGAGATATTCAGATTAAATAGTCAATCCATAATCAGATTTCGAATTAGAAAAATACAATGTCAACTATGACTCAAGAACACTTAGTTGTAGAATTAGGACTGCGTACTAATTTAGACACCATAAACTGCATTTGATATGTGGGACTTAAAAATTTAATTGCATAAATAAAATTTAAACACACTACCAATCAAGATAGAACCTAAAATCAATTTAAAAATGTACTAAATGCAATACAAACTACAAAGTCAATATGCCCTATCATAATATGTTAGAGATCCATTGAATAGAATTGAAGCGAGAATGACCTGGAGATTGTCCGCCAATACCATAGTAACATATGGAAGGTTGCACTGCACAAAGTATTAACAGTTAGTTTTCATCATTGATGCTAAAGAATGTCCCTCTAAGTATGAAACTGTTATATAGTCAGACATACTGTTCTCCGTGAAACTCTTTCAACATGCCTATCCAGTAGCACGGTTAATAACCTGACAGGGACGTTAAGAAAAAGGTTAAGTTCAAAGCTGTAAATAGATAAACAAGTTTTGGATCAAAACAAGATTGCTTAGTGACGGATAAACAGGTTTTGGATCAAGCTTTACCAAAACAGGATAGAGAGAACCCAAACTCTCATCCGCACCCATCTGCTACTTCTAAATCCAGAAGAATGGCTTCCAAAGATAAGAGAGTTTCCTAGATGAACGCCAAGAAGGTACATACCCCAGTATCCTGGAGACAATAAGATTGCTTGACCAATTTTTATAAACAAAAAATGGAACGGCTAGAAGTACTTGCAAAAAAAAACCATAGCCTTAGAATCAAGATTGAATAAGGTAGGGTGCAATTCTCACCAAATATACTAAAAATTCCTTCCTTGTTTTGACTTAATATATCCATTCCTCTTTCGTTAGAAAGCAAATAAAGATTTAAACCTTGCACCAAGCAGAACTGGTACCCTTGGAAACAGAAATTAAACTTGATAAGAAGATCAGATTTCAAAAGACATGACATAAGAATAAAACACAAATGAAAATGTACCTACTAGAACAAGTGAACCAATAATTCCACAATATTGAGGAGCAATATTAATAAAGGAAGTAAGGATTGACACAGCAGCAAGTGTGAAGAAGAAATTCCAATGCACACCATATTCACCAACATGCACCTAAGAAAAGGAAAAATGATCACTTGCTTTCTTCAGATTGTCTTCTCTCTTCAATTAGACAATTATAACTTACAATTTCTAAATAAATAGGCAAACAGGAAATCAGTCTCCATAGAAATTAAAATTTATAAATAATAATCAAAACCAAAAAATGATTACTGTCTACCTTAAAAAATTAGAACTCAATTCTATAAAAAGGTAAAAATACATATGATATCAGTGACCATTTTAATTAAAAACCTGAGGAAATTAAATAATCCAGTATATACTGCAATAAGCATAAAATTTCATTCAGATGCCACGTTTGTAGAAAAAACCCTACTACCCTGCATTCAACAACATTAAGAATTTTCGGGCTTATGGGCTCATATAAATCACGGGGTTTGACATAAGATATATACAGTCCAAAAGATTATTATTTGTAATCTTCATGAAATTTCATATTACTTTGAAGCATTAAATACACACAGATGACTAGCCTTGTTAAAGCTTTAGATAAGAACAGTATTTGTATATGCAAGACAAATTAATCCATTTGAGTTACCATAGATCATGCTAAGAATCCCAATGAAAATCCTACCTGATAATCCACACCAGTCGTTGTAGCAAGACGAAGAAATCCTAAGATGATCAGTGGACTAGTTGAAGCTATTGCAGTCTTCCAGCTTCTGTCAGCATGAGAAAATATGAGAATATTAGAGGAATACAGAATGCAGTATATCTGAGCAAAATTATTTGAAAAGATATCAATGTTATTATAAACCAGATAAACAAAATGAGGAAAGAAACTTAATTTTATTGTCAGCAAGGTTCATGTTGTTCACATTGCTCCTTCACTAATTATTACGGTTGTCTTCCCTAACTCATTCAGGTAAAACATCTTATAGTTTATCAAACTAAAAAAAATGCATTTACATCTTACATACAAAAATTAATTTTCAGAGAGGTTATTTAGGGAATTATGAATAATACTAAAGCCTTGAGACATTGGATAGGGTACAATGAATGACTCACACTGATCCCATATTCCGTGCTTGCCGAGAAACTAGTGAATTTGCTAAGACAAATGCTCCAACTCCAAGATCCATCTGGAATGCAAAAGTAATCTCAAATCATGACAGAGCATTCAAATTATTGCAGATACTGCTTGTTAGAATATTGTGAAACAAAATTAATGTGCATAAGCGAAGATGACAATAAAGTAAATAGCTGAAGTGTGTGAGAGAGAGAGAGAGAGAGAGAGAGAGAGAGAGATCAAAATTAGTAACTTAATGTAATGCAGAGGATAATTAATTTATATGTTGAATAAAAAAGCCCATTTTCTCCAACTCCTACACCAAACTCAAACAGACACCGATCTCCTTTTCTCTGAATCTACTCTAGCTGTACATCACCCAAGTGATAAGTAATATAGTAACATATTAACAAAATAAGTGTATTATAAGGGAGGACAAGAAATCCCCCTTAATCAAACAAAATAGGCAGAGACTTTGTTTGGAAAAAGGTCTGTGTAAGAACTTAAAGGAGTAGAAAATAAAAAGATAAAATGAATTGGGTTTCTCCTGTAAGCTAAATTAAACTTATGTACCTCAGCTTTTGAAGAAGTTGTGGGAGAAGTGTTGGGCTAGGAAGCATAAGAATCATATTAAATGAAATCTCTTTTCCTATATTTTTATTGTAAAACATGTGTTTCATTCTCCTAGAGTCATATCAGATTTGCAGAAGAATCATACCAAACTCGTTCCATAAGTTTCAGTCTTTGCATATCTTCTAGGAAATATTTTGAAGTCAACAGCCAAGATGCACAAGAATGTTATAATCATCTGCAAAAACAACTTTCATCAACATGAAAACAAAAGACAATCAGAACAATGGAATAAAGAATTCTATAGTGACACTTCATACCACAAGAACCCTGTATGAAGTAACATATGCCCGAAGAGAAGTGGGCTCTCCTTCAAAAGAAGATGAACCACCAGACCTGCAGTTATGCGTACAGAATCAATCATTATCTACATTGGTTCATGTTAAACTTTTGGCCTTAATTTTCTATTTCATAAAAAAAAAAGTCCGTATACCTTAAGAAAGTTACCTATACAAAATTGTCAAATTACCTCTTGGTTGCAATATATAGTAGTGTTAAGATAGCGAACAAACATGCGAAGACATAGGTCCAGTTTGCTAGTACCTGTTACCAAGTTCAATGTAGTAATTACAAAATAAACAATGAGGGAAACTTGCGTAAAAAAGTTTGTTACTACATAGTAGTTAAACTGAAACAAGCCATGTCCACAACTTTCAAGCCACATGTTGGCAAAACATATGATGCTAGTGGTACTGGGAGGGAGAACTTACAGTGAAAAATAAGAGCATAGGAACGACAATAACAAGAAAGTCCAGAGACAATGTGGCTAAGTATGATTTGAAATTCTTTTTACTGGAAGGTGCATCATCATTTTTCTTCTTCAGGGAGGCACCTTTAATTAATAAAAATAAAAAAGAAAAATCAAGAAATTAGTAAGAATGTAATAAGGGCTTGCATTGAACCAAACAACAGAAACACAGACCCGAGATAATAAAAACTTAAGGACATATTACCATTTGGGACTTAAAGGTTTATACCACTGTTATATTGATCCTTTATGCTAAGATTTCCGGCATAAGTCCTGAAATTTCTAGCCATAAGTCCATAAACTTAACCATTTATTATCATTCTGAACACTAAACATATGTTAACGTTATAGTTGACAATTCTAATTTTGGACTAAATGTCTTGCAGATTGGTTTTACTTTTAGAGACTTCTTTTAATTTTCATATTTTCAAACACTTGTATGTATGACAGTCTTACACACTTACAGGAACCCAAGTTCTGCCCCAAAACATAATGATAAGAAAAATATTGTAATTGAACACAGCTAAAATGTTGTGCTAGCGTATATAAATTTAAAAATTATAAATAGAAGTGTTGTAAGAAACTAACCGGTAATGGAAACGGAGGAGATGGAGTGACGAATAAGAATCAGAACCTGTAAAGGGACAAAAATCAAACACTCTGGCGTCACATTGAAGCTGGTAAATGGGCATGCAAATGGCAGGGTCACTCACCGGAATAATCACTGTAAGTGCCACGATTTCGGGCATTGAGGATCCGCTCAAGTTGCTGACAAATCTACAGAATTGAGACAAAAAGGAATTACGAGATCAGTGGTGCAAAATTGAGGATTGTTGTTATTGGATAGAAAGGTAAAGAAGAGATTAACTGTTCTTTGAGATACTTGTTGGGGTTGAAGGAGGGATTAGGCAGAGTAGGATCCATGGATGAAATCCAATTGTCAACTTGGGGTAGACTCACAAAACTGAGAACTGAACTGGGGAACAATATTCACACTACATCACCTTCCCTACTCCATGGATTTTTTTATTTTTATTTTTTATCTCCAAATTTGTTTTTTTAGTTATTCAATATTGAGTAAATTATTTAAGTGTTTTATTTTTCAAACATGTATGACAAAAAAATATAAGAAGAAGAATTATTTATTTTTATATTTGTAATTTTAACATATATTGATAATTTTTTAATATATTTTATTAAATATGGATATTTGAAATGTTAATAAAGATTCATATTGTATATTAAATTTTAATTATATATTTTAAAATAATATAAAAAATAATATATTTTATAATTTTTATGTGATATTATATATATATATATATATATATATATATATATATATATATATATATTAAAACAAATAAGGTTTATTTTTAAAATGTTAATTAACATCTTTTTAATAATCCATCTTAGAATTAAAAACATAACATCTATTTTAATTATGTTAGTAAGAGCTCCTGTTTGTTAAAAAAAGTTCAAATAACGACGGAAAATATTAATTGAAAAAATAATAAACAATAAATAACATTTTTTAAAATAAATCTTATTTGTTTTAATATATATATATATATATATATAAATACTTTTATTATTTGAAATAATTTGAGACAAAAAAATATTTATAATTATTTTTTCAATTAATATTTTCCGTCTCACATTATTTCAATTTTTCTTATCAGCTCTTACTAATTAACATAATTAAAGTAGATGTTATGTTTTTAATTCTAAGATGGATTATTAAAAAGAGTATATTTTTAGCTTATAAATAAATGACAAAACAAATAATATGTTTTTAATTCTAAGATGGATTATTAAAAAGAATATATTTTTAGCTTATAAATAAATGACAAAACAAATAATATGAAATGGTTTAATTTAGTCATAAAAGTCACTCACATGATTAAGCTTCAAAAAGATCACAGTGATCATGAAAATATGGTGACTAGGATGTTAAAAATGATGAAAGTTTTATAATATTTAAGTTACATATTCATCGAATTTTGAGATATAATAATAAAGTGGTGATATTTTGAAAACCAGAAATTATACAACCCTTTAAATTATTCACTTTTATTAATATAATAATCTATAAAATGATAGAATAAAAATAAAATAAAATTATTATTATAATATTAAAAGAGAGTTGTTTATAAGAGTTGTATGGATTTAGGTTGTCAAAGTATCATTTTTCCTAATAATATGAAACTTTGTTAGGACAACTTGACCATAGCAACATTCAAAAGGGTTAATATCTATCAACTTTATAACAACTATTTATCTAAAGTTGCTAAAATGGATAGAAAAATTCAAAAAATAGAATATGCCAAATTAAAAAAGAATAATTAAATTTGATATTTTGTGTGATTCTTGGAGACTTAAACAAAGTTAAGTTCCATTTTGAATATAATATTATTTTATTAATATATATATATATATATAATATAATATAATTTATATATAAACTCATTGTATAAAAATTAAAACTAGTTATATTTATATAATTTAGTTTTTAAAAATATATTTTATTTTTTATTTAAAATTATTTTATAACTTTTTCATTGAAAGGAAAAAAAAGAGCTTATGGCACTGCATAGATAATATTGAACCTGAAAAGTTTGACCTACTTAAAAATACAAATAGAGAAGCATTCAAAATTTACCTACTTATTTTTTATTTAAAATTATTTTTTTTGCCACTGGAACAAGTACTCGTGGTTTAACACCTGTACATTTACCTCAGAAACTATCTTCTATCTCATTACATGGAAGGAAAGCTTAAAAAAAACAGAAGAGAAAAAAAGGCTAAACTAAGAATAAGAATAATGACAAAAAGGAGACTATTTCAAGATTTTTGAGCATGGGTTGGGAAGGAGAACAACTAGGTGATTGGTGATTGGCGTTGAACAACGATTATGTACTACAAGGTGCAGGAACAGGAGCAATAAGCTTAGTCACTGTCCTTAAAACTTGCGCAGCTCCTCGTACAATTATGCTTGCTATTACGTCTCAATCTCAAAACATGCTCGGGCAATCTCAACGTGTACTTCTCATCACTTCCCTCTCCTCTAACCATAACTATCGAGTGTCCCGTGGAATGCGACCGTACAAATATTTCCCCATGTTCATGTCCACGTTTAGGCTCATTTTCTCCTTCATGATCACATTCATGTTCTGGTTCTTGTATTTGGTTGTCATTAAAAACATGTTCATGTTCACGTTCACCATCTTCTACTTCCGCTTCTTCTTCCTGTTCTCCTTCTCTTACGTTAATGCGTATCTCACCGCTGGTTGAGGAAACGACAACGTCGACAGGTTTGAGCGTTTCGTCGGGGCAAGATTCAAGGTCTCGGCGGCAAACGGGGCAAGTTTTGTGGGAGCGGAGCCAGAGATCGATGCAGTCCTGGTGGAAGACATGGCAGCAGAGGGTCAAGAAGCGAAGCATGCTGTCGTCCTCGAACTCCACCAAACAGATAGCGCATTCCAGACTGTACCTCTGATCCTTCCGGAGGTCCTTCACGGAGGAGTAGGGGAACGTCGGGAACAATTGCAGCAGCGCAGGGTCAATGCCTCTCGGAGGCGATCTGTGCGGCGTGAGACGAATGATGGAACCCGAAGCGGTGCGTTGGAAGGCCCACGTCTGGATCATGCTCGTGAAACAGTACTTGCACAAGTACACGATGCTGAATGTCACGAAGCACACCACCAACACACCCAGAGCAAAGGCAATCAGCGCTGGTGGGGTGTTGTACGGCGGCGCGACCGGTGCCGGGTCGTACTCCGCCAAAGACATTGCCCAGAGGACGAGAGGGAAGGGAAATTTCCGCTGGTTGAGTTGGCCGGAGAGTGGCTTATTCCGGACCGTACGTTCTTGGTTGTTTGCATGGATGAGATAGGAGTTTGAGAGCATGCAATGTGGGAAATGAAGCTTCGTTATTGGAAGGTTAGGTAAGGTCTGAATTCTTGTCTGTGTTATTTGTTTTCCTTCTTTTCTTTGTTGTGAAGGTGGAATTGCAGAGCACTAGATATGAAGAGAGAATAAAGGAATGGTTTAGTTTGAAGGACAATATACGAAAAAGGTTATTCCCAAGGGTGGGAAGGGTTGGTTTTCAGCCAGTCCTTATGAGAAGGACGAGAGGACTAGTGTCCGAACATTATTAACTTGTGAATTGCAGATAAAATAGCTTATTTTTATACAATTAAATGAATAGTTTTTTTTTCAATTTATCATTAAATTTATAATGAAATATTTGTAGATATATTCATTATATTTATAATACATATAATTAATTTATTTGTTGCATGAAAGTATATCTAACTTGAATTATTTCACAACTCTCTTTTTTCAATTGACTTTTTTAAAGCAAAACTATTAGAAAAAGTCCTATTAGTTAACCTTTCTGTTAATGAGTTAGTAAAAGAAACATTTTATAAGAAGGTCAAACTGGTGATGTAAAATGTTTATATATTTGTTCCTTCTAATTATTTGATGACCCCTCCAGTCCATCAAAAGATTCTTGGATTGGATATATATATATATATATATATATATATATATATATATATATATATATATATATATATATATATATATATAAATAAATGAGGATTTCAACTCTAGTTACAATTCAGACTTATAAGTAGTTACAATGTTATGAGTAAAATGTAAAATTAACCAGACTCGAATAAACTCAAACTAAAACCAAAATAAAAAATAATTTTCACATGGTTATAAAACTTAGAAACAGAGATATTTTTAGAACAATAACAAGAAGTATCTTGTTAGCAATACAACTGCATTATATTGGTAAATTGTTCCTATAAACTTATCTTTTACATGCAGAAATTAATATTGTATTATCCTTGTAAAATAATTCGTTACCTCTACAGGACAATTTTATGATTTCTTTAAAAATATATACAAAAAAGTTGTTAGAAACAAGAGAAGATAAATTGATATTAATATTACCATCTTACCTTAATTAGTATTAGAAGTAAAACATATATATAGCACTTTTAAATTATAAAAATGTGTAAAGAAAACAATGTTAATTTGTGGAAGCAATTTGATTATTGAGACTTATTTCTCTACGCCTCATGTCCGCCGCACCTGTATCTAGCACTCAGAAAACTATTTAGCGAGTGATCAATTTGAAAACATCGTAAAAGTTTTATCTTGCATCTGAACAACGTGTTCCCCTAAACAATCCTAAAGTTCTTAAGAAAGTACACTATCGGATGCAAAACACAAGGAAGGTGTAGCCAAACCCAGACACCAGATAACCAGCGTTTTAAGGAAGGAGAATACAGGACCAAACATAATCGTACAAAACAGTTCATAAGATAAATTAGGTAATAAAATATAGCAAGCGAATGAAAAATCATAGCGTATTCAGTTTTTTTTCATGGTACATAAGCCCTCTCTCATCAGTGGTTTTCCATTCATAACTGGGATTATAACTATTCGATGTCATCGATCCAATCACCATATATCCTACTGATTTTATCTGGACCTTTCCACTTCTGATGAGTTCTCTGCCCTGGCCTCTGAATCACAATGGAAGAAGGCCTTTGTGAAGGGACTCCAATATGATACACATCAGAATGAGCAACCGGAGTAACCGCTGCAACCACATTATCGGCAGAAGCTTTTGAAGCCACTCCCTTATTTGTGTCACTGCCAACCACAGAAGCAGCATCTCTGCTCTCTCCCTCCATAAGCCCCCCTCCATATCTGTGCAACTCTGTGGTCACAATATCAGAGTCAGATGATTGTGAAAATGGATTACTACTAGTTACTACTACTGGGTTCATAACTGATGGATAATCAATTCAAGCCAATAAAACACTTTTATGTGATGATAGAAGAAAATGTTACCGAATTTAATGCACACCGAAAATACAAACACAAGCATTCCCAAGCAGACATTCAAATAATGGGGGATGGACATTTGGAGATAAAAATAAATAAGAATCAGAGCATGATTAAGTGCTTATTTCCCAACCATTTCTGCATTCTCCATGAAACATTCCAATTGTATTTTCCAGTACTTCTAGGCCTATATATAAGAAATAAATGAAGCCAAATTTTTTTATCCTTTTTATAAGAAACATAGACCCATTTTCAAATGTACTATTACTAATTTGTTTCTATAACCTTAATTAATTGGAGAGCCTATTAATGAGATATTCACTCATTTCCCATAAGATGCATTTATTAAGTTATTAACAAAAATAGTCACTCCCATTGGTTAAAAAAACAATTCTTGAATTATGAGTAAAATCATTAAACATAACCAAATCATTTAATTTCGTGGATGATTTCGGAATGCATTTTAAATTTGACATTTTTAATTTAAATTAACTAACTTAACTATGTTAATTAGTTCTTATAAATTATGACATTTTTAAAAACAATTTATATGGGTTACTAGTCACTTTGAAAAACATAAATATAGTTCATCTAGTCACATCACACTAAAATAAATCATAATTGATTTTTCTCAATAGAATTTTTCTTAACAAACTTTTAAAAACTTCGTTTGTTGTTCTCTCTCATTTATTTCTTTTTATTCATTTGTGTAAGTTGTTTGAAAAAAAAAATTATACAATTTACCACATTACTTAGGATTCTTCCAATAGAATTTTTTTTCAAACAACTAGTGTTTTAGTATTTTAATAAGCAACTCCTCGGAGATGTTATTATTTACTTGTTTTTCATACATATAGAACCAGAGGTAGTATTTACTAAATCACTAGGTTAATTGCAAGAGATAGTCTACGTATCCAAATAGATTAGGATTTTGGTACAATTGTCTTTGGGCCGACAACTTAATGAGTTTGGCACACCAGAGAAAGAGGGAGAGTTTCTCAATAATAGTACCAAAAACCCTTAAATTTCAGAGACACAATAGAATTTCTCTAATTTATAACCTTTACATGAGCTTCCAATTTGTTGTATCATGTCATTTAAATTGTATAAAATCAGAACACAACACAATCAAAATTTATTGACTTCGAAGCTTACAATATGTATGGTCCCTATATATGCTGATTCAGGTGGAATCTAGGTTACCCAATATAAATCATTCGTTGCATTTCTGGTTGTTTTTCAACTACATTTTATACTGCCCTAGCATAACAGTATCTCGAGAATACTACTATTTAGTTGGAGAGAACCCAATGTTTGAGTAGTACCTAAATCAACTTCTTCTCATTTAGGTTTGGCCCCATTCGTAAGTATCTCAATGGACAGATTGTTAGCATGTGCATCGGTTAACAAAGTTTTCTTTTCTGTTAGTGGCTTCGACTACGTACACAGCACCTAACAAAAATTGCATCTAAGATTTTATTACTTCAACTCCATCTACAACATTATATCTCTGAGAGCTATAAGCATGTAAGCAGCGCCCTCTATTCATTTTGAACCCGCTACTTAAGAAACTATGCTTTTCTGATGTCTCATTAGATATTGAAGCATACAAGGCACAGAAAAAGTCACAATAATCTCAAATAAGGGAACACATAGTTATTGAAGGATACTTGGAAAAAAGAGAGAGTCAAATTTCCACACTTCAAAACTTAAAGGTTCTCTCTTGTGGATTTTGAATTGTTTGTTTTGCCTTTCATTGTGCAAGGAACCATCCATTTCCTTGAGCACAAGAATGATTCTCTGGAATGCAAACATGCTATAACGAAATATTGCAAAGATTACTACAGCTGCCACAACACACTTTAATGATATGCTTAATACAACACTAGGACACCAAGTTATTAATTGACAAAAGTAGTTATGCCATAATCAAAATAAAAACACCAGGAACTATAGCTATAATAACCACATAAATGAATAAATGAGAATCCAAGATTGAATAACACATAAACACAAAGCAATCTAAAATCAAGGGTCATCAACTCAGACCTTATATCCAAATTACGAGAATACACCTCATAATGAGAAATGACAGCAACAACCCAAACTATTTTCAATGCTAGCATCATTTTATACTGCACGCAACTATCCCCTCAGTCATCACTCAAAAATGAAAAGAAGATTTGAAAACAGGGAAAGGAAACAGGGTTGTACCTGTGGCACCATGAGCAAAATGGCATTTGTTCCCAAAGGGGCAATACCCTGTCATCTCCCATTTATTGCAAATCCTGGTTTTCCAATTAGAGGGCTTGGAATTAGGGCCATTTCCAGTAGCATTAGCACCACCATTACCACCACTACCATTTCCACCACCGCCACCCCCCACCACCACCACCCCCGCCACCACTACCACCACCACCACCACCATAACCCCCTGGGCCTAAACTTATAGCAACACTCTCTCGGTTCTTTGATTGCTCATCATGAAGGAAGGTGCAACTATCCCCATAGGGGCACCCTTCCTCAGTGTAAAACTTCTTACAATGCCTTCCCTTGTAGGACCTCTGCATCATATCCCCTGCAAAGGTGGAAGACCCCACAGTGGGAATCTGAAACTCCTCCCTTGGCTCTGCCATCACTGCCTTCTCCTCCTCGTGTGCCGCCACAATCTCCTGCCAGTTTGGGGGCGGGCGCCGCAGCTCCTCAATGCTGTGGGCGAAATTGCAGTTGGTGATGTAAGGGCACGTCCCTGCCCTGAACTTGCAACACAGCTTCGTCTTGAAGAACATTTTCCCTATAGCCTTTGACCGGTTTGAGTTCCCATCCTGCGAATTCCGGGACTTCTTGCTCGGCGGCTCCGACCGCGACTCATAATTCGAGTTCGAAGGCGTCGATTCCGCGTCTCCGTTGTTGTTGTTGTTCCAAAACCGGTACTCATCCTCAGTCGCCCAATCGGCTTGATCGCCCGACCAGCTCTCTCCTCCTCCGCCACCCCCGGTGATTATTTGCACCACGTTCCCATCTCGAGCGTAATCCATTGTCAACGAGGCAAAACCCTAACCAGATTTTGACCTTAGACTTCTGTCTTTGTATTGTTCTTCCCCCGTTTTCGGAAAATCTGAGAAAATGTTGGTTCGCGGAAACTATCAGCTACCTAGGACTGCCCCAACGCAGCTTCATCTGAGGAAATGGAGATCAAAGGATTTTTTTTTTTTTTTCTGGTTCTAATAAGACAATATAATTTCAAAGACCATCCTTTTCAAGACAACCTTGTTTATGTCCCAGACAATCCTGTTCAAGACATCATGTTGGTCACGATCTTCTTGTTGGAAACAATTACAGACGGATCTTGTTCGAAATATCTTGGTAGGTAGATAAGATGATGAGAGAAATAGGATTGTAAAAAAAGAAAAAGGTCTGTAATAAAGATTCACATAATCTCCAACAAAGAGAGTTTAATTTATGGCACCGAACTGAAACTAGATCTGTGACGACAGTGTCGAAAAAAAATGAAAACCAAAACTGTCACAAATCGGTTACAAAAATAAGTTAAAACCTTTGCAAGAGAGAAAGATTTTCAAAACAATGCAACCTAGGAAATGGGTTGGAACTAGAATGAGTTACACGATTTTTCTTACCTGGTTAGATTTTTGTGTGAACCAACATGAAATGGAGAAACCCAGTATTTATTTTTATTTTATTTTTTAAGGCTAAGATTGACTCTCTCTATATGAAATAAGTCGAGGATGACTTTGTCATTCTTCCCCTGCTTAACGTTAGTTTGTGCATTCATATGTATGTATCTGGTTCTACGTTAATGCACATTAAATTTCAAATATTAAATATTATTATTTATGATTGTATGTCAATTTTATTTTATTTTTTGAAGAAAAATATTAATTCTCTAGTTATGTATTATTTTAGTTATGTGAAGTTTTATGTGTTTCAAAACTATAATTATTTTTTCATTTAATGCACATTAATATAAAAACATTAATAATATATTTGTTGACTAAAATACTCCTATTTAATATAACAGTTCGTAAAATTTAATGTTTTAATATATATATATATATATATATATATATATTAAAAAATATTGCAAAATGTTTATAAGAATAAAACTAAATTGCCAAAATAATTAAAGTTTTAGAATGGGATGGAGTATGTTTCCTTTCAACGTAAGTTAATGAAAGAGTATCTTGTATTTAAGAATCACAAACAATTTTGAATAAGCACAACTGACTTGAATTATCCCAATTTTAATAATAATAAAAAAAATCTTTCTTTGAATGTGAGTACGAATATTATTACTTTACTTAATAAGAACATACAATGGATATATATTATTCACCCTAATCCGGATTTATATTTTTTGGAATATATATAATTCAACTAAAATATAATATAATTATTAACCTTTTTTTCTAATTTATTGAGTTATCTGAACTTCATATAAATCTCTTTTCTAAATTCAATTCCTTCACCTTTAAGTTATTTTCAACTAAATTGTTCCACGCCTAATGAAAATATAATTTTCATTCTTAGAAATATTAATTAAGTTTGATGTTAACTTTTTTTTCTACTTCTTATCCCTTTGTTTTGTTTTTCAAAATATCTTAATAAGAGAAACACATGTTTATATTTAAATTTTAAAAAAAATTGTCTCTTATTTTTATCCTCAAAACTTTTTTTATTTTGAGACTATGTTTAAAATATTGATTGGTTGATATATTAATAGGAAGTTTTGAACAATTAAAAAGTCTTGGTTGAAAAAAAATAAGAGTAATGACTATCCAAAACTATTTGAACCATCATATTATTGAAAGTCATGAAAGCATACCAAATCCAGAAGATACTTTCAGAACATTATAGGAGAGAAAGAGATGATGTTGACGATGATAAAAATATTGGGAGGGTCATATTCCAGTTCTTGAGTATTCTCATCTTTTACATGTAAGCAAGCATAAGAAGAATTTATGCATAACAACACTTTATTTGGACACTTATGACTAGGGATGAATTTATCATGTATAACATAAACCATTACCGTACATAACTGCATATTTGTGTTGGTGACACCACTTATGGGAAAATTGGAACTTTGAGTAGGGTTGTTAAAACAATTGATTTAGATTGATTTGTGGTAGGGTTAAATAACAAAAAATTATATTTAAAATGAGTATACAATTTTTAATTTAGTCTAATTTTGTATTAGATTAATAAATAACGAATTAAACTTGGCCTGATTGAAATTAAAAAAAAAACTATCTATACCAAAATAATTAATTAAAAAAATATTTAAATAAAAATAAAAATAAAATAATATAATATATTTTTAATTTTTAAATTATATTAATAAATTTAGTTTTTATTTAATATATAATTAATGATTTAATATATAAATTAGAAGAGAATGAATCCCTTCAATCTCATAATAAGAATTAAAAGTTTACTTTTCCTTATCATCATTTTTATGTTAGTAATTTATTAATGTTTTATGTTAGTAATTTATTAATTTAAAATAGTAATTAATTTTAATCTATAGATTTTGTAATAAATGATTGCTAGAAATTTATCCTAAAATTAATTTATCAAATTGCTCGAATCAGTCACATTTTATTTGATTACTCGATTTTAGTGACTCGAATTAGTCACTCATTGAGTGATTGATTTAGTGACCAAATTTAAAATATGAAATTCGGTCATTATATCGATCACTAATTTTATTTTTTATTTTATATATATAAACCTTAAGGAATATGAACTATTTATTTTCATGATATTTTGTATTAAATTTATCAAAATTCCACTATATGAGATAATCATTAGAATAATACTACAAATTTTGTTTCAAATAAATAAATCATTCATGAATTAAATACTTTCTTGCATATTGAAAGTTCAATCTAAAATTTATTGTACATTCAACTACGATATTTACGAATATCCATGTTGTGTCATATGCCAACAAATGATTTATTTTAATAAATCATACACCATATAATTATATATATGACATTTCTAAATTCCACAAAGATAAAATTATTTATTATACTCTCATGACTACAATCATTTGAAATAAACACCATTATGAACACTAAAACATTATTTTGTTACTTTGAGTACAGCAAATTTATCTATCTTTTCAAATTTTACCCGACATAATTATATTAAAACCTATAATACTACATTTATAGGTCTTTGTAGAAGTTATATCTCTGCCACTAAAACTGCCCAGTAGTAGAAAGTTTGATAATTAGAAACAAAAGATGGTGGGAGTAGACGTATTTAAAGAACTTAACAACTCATTACGAACTAACGACTATAAAAAAAATAATGGATAATAATTAGAAAATATATAAATAATCAATCTCATAAATAATCATAATAAGACAAAGATAATCATTTTCCAAGGAAACAAAAACCGCTCAGCGATTATGAATCCACTAAGAAAATTCGTGCCCAAGAGGACAAACTAATGGTAAAAAAAAAAATCGCTCAGCAGTTATAAATTCACTTAGCGTCTCCGAATCCGCTCAACGATTTCGAACCCACTCAACGTTCTAAATCCACATACATCTGGCTACTGCACACATGACCCCATAAACAAATAGAAGAGAGAAGCAAATAAGTCTATATTATTGCATTTGCCATCCATTGTGTCCAAATGCATTTGCCCCTCCAACAACAATTTCATTTTATGAAATTGAAACTATATTAAGGATGGACATTCATACCTGATGAAACGAGGGAGATTGTGAATATGATATTTAAAAGTCACTACTAAGAACTACAAGAAGGCTTGTGGTGAAATAGAAACATAATTTCGCAAGAAATTTTGGACTAGGGCGAGATATTTAGGCTTGAAGTATGATATACATGGAACTCAAGGCCCTAAGTTTGTATGACAATTGAAAAATTATTGAATACTTTCAAAGCAGTTAAGCTAAGTAGCTCCTAATCAGAGCCAAATAGCCCCATCAGAACCAAACAAATGATCAAAACCAATCAAAGGCAACATAAACATGCAAATACACATTAGATCAATCAAGAATCAAACAAAACCGAACCGGAACCAACATGCTTAAAACCCAACCCAAACTTGGGACCTACAAAACCCAATCCAGACCTTAAACAATAGTAACGCAAAGCCAGACCAATCAGGACCCAACTCGAACCATTCAGGATCAAACCAAACCCAGTCCAAAACCAAACTCAACAACTGTATTAGAGCCAAACAAAACTTCCCAACGAGAAACTATTCCCATTACACAATTGTCTTTTCTCAAAATTGACTTCATCTTCAATTTCCACAACAAGAAACTATTCCCATTAAATTTCTCTATCTCATATTTTGTTGTCATGGTTTTAACTGACTTATGCACCTTTCACTATGAATAGTATTGCCTACTAGAACAACAACATAAACTATAACTAGTACACCAAGTAAGCTCACAGGAAAGAGAGGTGAGTCACTAATAGACACACTTACATACTAAGTATTTTCTTGCCAGAACTTTTCTTAGACATGCACTGTCACACTACCACACTTTATATCCAGTAACTAGAATAATTCTTTTCTGATGTGAAAGATCAGATTAACCACAACCACAAAGCATACTAAAAATTTTCTCCAATATTATTCTAATGACTATAGCAGCGAAATAATATCATAAATAAAAAAACTAACCTAGTGGATTTGATACCACTGTTAAGACTTTTCGAGGGGGCTAACAATAGGGAGATTCTCACAAATGGGTTATGAGTAAATCATATAAGAGAATATGACATCACATTCAATCAAAACCTTAAGACATTAGATTATGGGTCTTTCTCACTTATAAGTTACTCAACTTTCTCATTTCTACCCAATGTGGGACTTCAAACTCACACTTGAATTCTTGACATCTCCCCCTCAAGTGTGATTCCCTTTCACATTGGTATACTTCCCCCTTGAGCTGAAGCATTTCTTAGTCATGAGTACCTAGTGATAACCTTACTTGTATCACCGTTGAACTTAACGAGACTCGCTTGC